TTCATCCTTCCTTTTCTCATCTAATAATATTATAAACTGCCATTTATCATGCATGTGCATCATGCTCTCAGCATGTTATACACACTGGATCATCTAAGCCTCACAGCAAGACTGCAAGGCACAGATGGTGAAAATGAGGCAGCTCAGCCCACTTTCCTATGGCTCCTCAGCCAGCTGTGGTCCCTAACAGGGTTCCTGTCCCCTTACTTGAGAAGGGGAAGTAGAAGACAGACCTTAAGTTTTTGAAGGACTGAAGAAGGGAACAAAGATTAGGCACGTATTTGATGTCATCGTTGGGCATAAGGACCAAAGGGTAGAAGTCATTGGGAGGCAGTATTTGTCAAATGGTAAGAACATCTTAACAATCAGAGCCTCAGCTGCCTTGAAGCAATGAGCTCCTTGTCACTAGAGGTGTGCAAGAAAAACTGATCAATCTCCTGTCAAGAGTGAAACATAGACCAGCCCACAACTGGTGGCTTGGCACTGCCAGAGGGTCTTGTGTGTCTGCCATGTGAAGGGTGTGCCTTCCCAGCCAAGGGCAAGGAAGGCAGCCACGCAGGTCTCATGGCCACTGTCATCCTTTTCTCTGCATTGTCTTGAATGCCATCTGCCCAGGAGGTGCCCAGCAAGCAGTGTGCACTGAGTGCCAACAAGGACCAGGAAGTAGTATGGAAAGCATCACTTTCTATTTATGAAGGAGATGAAGAGTTCCCAGGAGTTAAGTCCAGTTTCATTTCAATTTAGGACAAGTGAAAATGGTGATCCCAAAGCCTTCTTCATAGAGATTTCCTGGACAGAAACATATACCCCAAAACCTCCAATCATATCTATGAATGCCTTTAAAAATAACACCACATCATCATCTGTAAAGTAGAGCATATTAGCCAAGTTACAGGAAGCAGTGAAAGTTAATCTCAAGACAGTCGTACCCTACACTTGTTCGAATATGCCAAGGACAAGAAAGAGCAGTTCATGGAGAATCATCATCCCGTTAATTCTACGAAATCCATAAGCAATATCATCTCAGATGAAACTCCTAAAATAGCCCCATCAAGTAAGAAAAAAGACAAAAAGGAACAACTTTCAAAAGCCCAGAAACGTAAGCAGGCAGATAAAATAGATCACTCAGGAGAACTTCCTTGAGGATGGAACTGGGTGGATGTGGTGAAGTTAGTGAAACTGACTCAAAAGGTGATGAATAGTGCTTAGAATTTGAGACAAGGAAAAGCATCCTTTAAAAAGTAAATGGGGTTCAAAATCTTTTACTAATCTTTTTTGGTATTGAGGTGGGTTTTTGTAAAACAGAATCGTTTTGTGTACATTTCTCATGTAAAAAATGTTTCAAACTGAAAGGTCATGAAGAGATCTGGTTATATTAAATTATTTCCACAAACTCACCCTAATAAAAGGTGAAAATATTACTGTTCAGAATAGCTTATGAAGCCAATTGAGCTTTATAAACGAACAAATATGAGGAATAATAATCAATGTTAATTTATATGATCTTATTCTAGTGGATGTGATTTTTTTAAAGGAGTGTGAAGCCCTTTTCAGACTCTCATGCCAATGGAGCAGAAGACTGAGTGAACAATTAGTCCACAGCATGAGCCATATTACTAGGCTTCCCATCTCAATAAAATCTTCATCTCTTCTTTCTCTTAATTACTGAAGCATAGATTGCTTCAGAGAAATGTAAATACTAGTATTTGAACTTTATACATACTATATTTTGCAGTTCCTTTTTCTTTTTCAAGGGTGAACTGCTTCTTTTTAACAAATGAGTATGTTTGTACTTTTCTCATGGTTTGGGTCACTGTGTTTGATTATGAGAGCTTCCAATGGAATGTTAAACAGGAGAATATAAAACAAATCTGAACACATTACTATACATAAAATAGATAACAAGGACCTACTGTATAGCGCAGGGAACTATATTCAATTCTCGTAATGAGCTGTAATGAAAAATAATCTGAAAAAAATATGTGTGTATGTACACATATAACTGAATCACTTTGCTGTACACATGAACCTAATATTGTAAACTGACTACACTTCAATGAAAAATAAGAATTAAAAAAAATCTGAGGGGGGAGGGTATGGTTCAGTGGTAGAGTGCATGATTAGCATGCTCGAAGTCCTGGGTTCAATCCCCAGTATCGCCATTAGAATAAACAAACAAACAAACAAACCTAATTACCTCCCCCAAAGCAAACAAACAAACAAAAAAGCCAAATCTGCCAAATACATTAGAAAGCATTTGAATGTAAGTGTTGGATCCTATTTAAAATATTCCACAAAACAAATCTCTTTGCTGCATATACCAAGATAACTGGGAGTAAAAGATACCTTAAGATTTAATTTTTGTACCTTTAGAGACAATGGTTTTAAGAAATTCCTATTTATCTTTTGATGGTTATTTTTAGTTGTTTGATAACTCAGGTCTTCTAAATGGCTTATCACAAAACCACATTTCAAGGCTTGTTTCTTTGCAAGTATCCAAATATATTTCCTTGTGTGAGCATCTTTGTAATAGTAGGCATAGAAGTCTTTCAAATGCTGAACCGTATATGCTCAATTATTTTTTAAATCATTAATAGAGGAAACTATTCGTGTAGTTTTACCAGGAAGTTATTGCTATGTATGTGTGATTCACAGTGATTCTGTATATGCTCCCCAGCTTTAAAGACACATAGAAATATTGTTGTGATATCAATTGTTAGTTCCTCAAGTTACAACTGTGCAGCTTGAGTCCGAGCTTTTAAAGAATAGTTCACTTTTAAAGAAGTTTCCTTAGCAAGAGAGCAGTTGAGTTGTATCCATTGGTTTTTACTAGGTTTACATTGGCTTCAGTTAAATCATTTGAACTATGAAGTAAGCATAATTACGATGAAGAAGTTCAATCTCATTTTCAAAAGCTGAATCACATTTTATTTCTTGAATTAATATAATAGAAACATTAAAATTCAGGACCATTGGAATATACCAATTTCTGTTTGAGGATTGTGTGTGTAGTTGTTTTTTTATTTGCTTTTTTTTTTTAAGGAAATTGAAATTGCTACATTAGTTAGTAGAAGAAAATGCTTTGTTTTGCTCTAAAGAGTCTGAAATTGTTCAGGCTCATCATGGGTTCATAGATTACAAAGAATAATGCTAGTTAAATGCCAATGAACTATTTTTACTTTTTATATGAAATGTACAAATTTTGGGGGATGATGGTGGCAGTGGTGCCTCTTACTACCTGATATGAACACTTGAACACTCTCATCAATATTGTCATCATCCGTTTAACACTCCCAGTGTATTTTCTCTAAGTCTGTTTACTTAAAATTGTGTGAAATTACGTGATTAATATGCAATAAAATCTGTATTACATACACACACACAGAAATATAGAGAATTCTTGGGAAAGGGATTTGACTAGATAATTCTAAGAGTCCTTTCAACTTAGGTTCTATCACTAAATGATTCTAGAACTCTAACGTGGTGTGATTCTAAGGCTGTGATTCCAAAATTTTATTAGGACAAGAAACAATCCCTATCTTCAAAGAACTCACAACCTAGTAGATGAGGTGGACAGTTACTTTTGATAACTGTAATAAATAGTCCTATAGATTATATGCAAGGCCTTGGCAGGATGTGGGAAGGAATGTTAACTGAGCCAGAGCTGTTTCCTTAAGGCTGGTCTCAAGAATCACTTGCATCACCATCTTTTTTTTTAAAAAAAAAAGCTAATTTCTGGGCTCTATTCCAGATCCCCTGAATTAGAACCTCTGGCGTGGAACCCAAAAGTCTACTTCACTTAAAAGAAGCCAAGGTGATTCTTAGGTTGACTGAAATTTGAAACTGCATGCCCAGGGTCAGGATGACTTCCCTGAGAGGTGATATTCAGACTGAGAAAAAGGAGTAGCTGGGTCAAAATGTGTAAGTACAGAAGTCACACAGAAGTAACGTGTTTTGATGAAGATCAGCAATTTTTACAACATCCCTTCCATGTGATAGGTCTTTTTAAAATGATAGCACTTCTTAGATATAATCTGAGATTCTGTGATTGAGGGAGTATTCCTCAGATGTCCTAGAAGAGATCTTTGTTTACAAGGGAGCCAGAGCTTAGCCTGTTTGTTATTAACTATCCCAAGGCCACAGGCTGGCAGAAAGGGCTCTGATAAGGACTACCCACAGTCTCTGAAACGTTATTCCCTGCCATTGTCCACTCCCCTGCCCATGGCTTCCTGGCCCTCATTTCTCAGCTGTCCCTGGTTGCTTCTTTTCTCTGGAACCTGCAGTGTCACCAGCAAGGAAGCAAGAGCTTGAATGAGGACCTGGCGGCCAGAAAGCAGAGTATCCTGGGACAGGGAGTAGTGAGGTGTGACCAGTTGTCTGGGCATGTGAGGGACTGTTGATACTTGGAGGGAGGAGACACTGCCCGAGGTTAAGGGGAGAGAGTGCCCTAGTGGATTCTGAGTCTGATCTCTGCCAGTGACATCCCTGGTGAACCTGGATAAGCCCCCTTCCCCAAAACTGGGCCCCTTCCGGAAACTGCATCTTCTCTGGAAAAGAGGATTTGTTTTAGAATCAGATGATTTCTCCTGTAACCACCCAGCTTTATTATTTTGGATTCTAGGATGGCATCCAACCCTAACTATCATCCTGTGAAGAAGGCGTGCAGGAACTGTACCCATTTTACAGCCAGGAAGCCAAGGACCAGTGAGAAGCAGTGACTTGCCCACCACCACACGACCACATAGGGGCAAAGCTTGATTCCACCAGCACCCGACACTCTGCCTCGCCTTCTGAGCACGGTCTCAGACTGGGTAAGCTGAAGCGAATCAAGAAGCATTCGGTCTCAGGTCCAGGAAGCAGGCGCTGCAAGGGACGGAAGGGTCGGAGCCCATAGCGGAGTGGGGCCAAGCAGCTGGGCGGAGGCGCCAGAAGCCAGCTCCGAGAGGAGGAGGGGGTGGGTTAGGGGCCGGGCGGGGCCGGGCGGGGCCGGGGGAGGGACACCCTGGGGAAGGGAAAAGGCTGCGGAGCGCGGATCAGAGCGCAGAGAGGCTGGTGGAGCTCCTTGCGGCTCAGTGCAGCGCACCCACGAGCCCAGGGCGCGGTGTCCAACTAGCAGACGGCGCCCCTCGGAGCCTTGCCGCGAGGCAGGTAAGGTGCACTCCCAGGTCGGAAAGGTTAAGCTGACGTGGGGAGTATAAATGAGGAATCTTCCCTACTCCCTCGGCGTGGGGGGGGGGGAGCGGCTCAGACAAGGAACTGATCCTCCCTAGAGTCTAGCCACAGGGATCCCAGGCGCACGTCGGAGTGCGGGGCTCATCTCCTGGCATACCCGGCCCAGAAACCGCGGGGCTTGCGTCTGCACTCGCAGGCCCCAGGACAGCGGCACTAAAAGCTCCTTCCACATCCTCAGATATACATACGAACACCTGCGGCTCCGCCACAAGCGCACAGGCGGAAATGACACTCCAGCACCCAGCGTGTTTTCTTTCTTGGCGGGAGCCGCTTGCTCTGCTAGTTGACTTGCCCATTCGCTACTCCATGTGCCCCTCGCCCTATGCGCCGCAGTCCCAGGAAAAGGCTGGAAGCTCCCAAAAACATCTTCGAGTGCAAATAATGTAGATCTAGGCGAGAAGTCAGGAGACCTGGGTTCTAGCTTACAGGTTGTTAAAATCTGTGCTAGTTACCCAGCTGCTCTATACCTTGTGCGCTCTTTTCCTAGGTCACCACCTGTAAAATGGGCCCCTGGCCCTATTGCTCGGGTACTCCTTATGGTATGTGGGGAAAGGAGGTTTGGACCCTTGTCTAAAAAGTACATGAATTCCGGCCCTTGTGTGAAGGCCCATGAAGAGTATCTCCTCCTATCCCTCCTCCCGACTTCTCACCAGTTGACGTGTGGGGAAACTGAGGCCCAGGGAGAGATGGCTGGCCCAGGATCACACCGGGGACCAGACAGAAGTAGAAATTAATTCTCCTCACTTCTACCCCAGAGCTGTCTCCACTTCAGCTACAAAAGTGCATTGTAAATGTGTAAACTCCTCATTATCTCCTGGCCTCCAGCCACATTTTCAGCTCCAAACGGAGGAGGGAGATCCATGTTGGAAGCAAGGAAACTGCTTTCAGATTTCCTTGACTCCTTGAGATGATAACCAAAATCCTTCTTCCTCCTTCACTTACTCCATACTTCTCCAGACATTTCTATCCATCAACTGAATGGGTGGATGTTCAAAATACCTACTAAGAGGAAGGCAAGACAAGAAACCCTAGCTTACTGATGGGGGGAGTGAGGTCCAGAGCGAAGAAATGAATTAAGACTTAACCAAGACACTTGGTCTGAAAAGTAGGGGCAGGTCTATTGACTCCAACTCTGGTGTGTTCTCCCTCACCGATAGGACTAAATGGAAAGAGACTACAGGACTGATCAGAGAGGATGAGAAACAAGGAATGCTTCTGAAGGAGGTAAGTGCCTGAGGATCAAGAAAAGTAATAAAGAACCTCCTGATCCTCTTCTGAGGGTAGGAGAACCAAGGGTGGAGAGAGGGGACATAGGGATGGCTGTTCTTGGTAATACTAGGGAGCAGGGGGAGGAGATAGGGGAACAGAAAAGGAAACAACATGACCAGGCTGCCCAATAATTATTTCTTATGTTTATATAATACTTTGCAATTTCTAAAACACCTTTCCTCCATTGTCTCCCTGAGGTCCCATGTGAGGCAAGCAGGGCAAGGGTAATTACCCCCATCTCATAGATGAGTTTCAGAGGAAATAAATGCAGTGCTCAAGGCCACATAGTCATGCATACAGCCAAGATTCGAACCATGAAAGGCACACTTGAAAGGCAAGGGAGGCTGGGAGACTGGGAGTTGGACTGTGTGTACGCAGCAGTGGGTGTGTATGGCCACACCCTGGGCAGGTACACAGGGAAAAAGATTGCAAAGCCACCGCTGGTGTTTTGGGGCCAAGAATGTTTGCCCTTTGGATTGACTGGGGTTCAGGTGCAGGGAACATCTGGACTTCCAAAGGCAGCTTAGAATTCCTTCTCCCCAACTCACTTTCCCACCTGACCAAGATGATGTCTTTTCTTTGAGCCTCCCTTTCTCCAGACCAAATGGAATGCTTTGGCCTGCTCTTGAAGTTGATTTTTAAGTACTGTAAGCTGTTTTCATGAATGTGTATGTATGAAGAGGCATTGATCCACCTATTCTTGAGTGTCTGCTATAAAGAAATGTATGAAGCACAGGTCCCTGCTCTCATACCTCCTAGTGCAGTTAAGCATATATATCTGTATCTATTGATATTTACATAGATACACACAGAGATATAATTTCAGTACAGCATAGTGGTCTAATAAGGTGTTATGCAAAGCACTTCAGGAACAGACAAGAGGGAGAGGCTAACTGTCTAGGGAGTGAGGAAGGCACTGTCTCAGGAGACAGTCTACAGAGGTGACATTGGAGCTGGGTATTGAAGGATGAGTAGGAGTTCACCAGGCAGATAAAAAGTGGAAGGGTATTCCTGCCTAAGAAAACAGCATGAGCAAAGGTGATAGGTGTGCAAGTGCAAGGAATGTCTGGAGAATAGCCTGTAGCTCAGTATCATCCCAGTAACATGCACTGGGAAAAGCTGTGATGAGATGGGGCTAGAGGCACGGTCACATCCAAAGGAGTCTGAATGATACTCAGAGGAGGTTAGACTGTCCTACAGGTAATGGGAAACTTATGGAAAGATCTGTGGACAGGATACCTGTTTCTGGTCCCAGCTTCACCCCTCCTAGGCTGTGAGACCTTAAGCAATGATTTCTTCTTTAATTCTTTAACAACTCTATTTTCCCACTTAACAACTCTATTTTCCCACTGGTTGAATGGGAGGGTTGCACCACCAACATGATTATTAAGATTGCTTCCAGCTCGGATTCTATTCCTGTGTCTCCTTCCAACTATATGTTAAGGTTCATTCCTTCAGCTCCTCTCCCACCCCCTGGGCTGTCCAGTCCATGGTGGAGATACCACCAGACAGACCAGTGGCAAAATTGTGCAGCTGCAGGAGTTGTCTTTGGATCCCTTGCCTGTTTTATGACCTTTTCCGCCTTGTCTCTCTACCACATTTCCAAGCACTTAAGACACTCATTCTGAAAGAGTAGCTGAAACAGAGCAATAGAGAAACCAAAAGAACCAATGGTAGAGTTTCACTTTTCTAGAGAGACCTGAAAGAAAACCTCACTAAGATATCCCATTCATCCTTCAGGTCACAGCTTTACACCTCCACGCCCAAGTTAGAGGCTGGGTGAGCTCAAGTTAAAAACATTTAGGGAGAACCTGTTAATGTGCAGGAAAGAGTAGTATCAGGGTGTGGAGGAAGAGAGGGCACCTGGTTTGTATGGGGGAGCAGGAGTAGGTCAGGAGCAGAAGGAGCAACGGGAGACAAGACTACAAAGGAAGGAAAACTCCAAAAGTTACCAGTTACTCCCCTTACTGGATCCTCGGTTAAGATTGGCAAGAATCTGCAGTTCAGGAGAAAGCAGTAGTGATGGAGTTAGAGGAGACCGTGTCCCAGGACACGAGGAGTCTCTGTTTGGTGTGCTATGCTGCTCAGATGCTAGGGCATGTTGCCACCTGTAGTGGAAGGAGCACCCGAACAGCACCCCAAAGATGGGTTCTCATCTGAGCTCTGCCATTTACTAGCCATGTCATTTTGGATTTGTCACTTCCCCTCTCTGACCTTCAGTTTCCTCATCTACAAAATGGAGGGGTTGGCCTACAATCTAGATTCTAAATGATCTTTAACATCAATCACTGTTCACCTTCCTTCCTAACTTGTTATCTCCTGTTTCAAGTCAAGGACTCTGCAGGGCAGGAGCTCTGTCTTCCCCATCCAAAGAGCTTCACAATCCATGACTACCTTGAAGAGAGAAGCCAAGGAGCTCAGAAAGAGGAACAAAATTCCCAATGTTGCCAACTACTAATCCCTGACCTGGGACCCAGAGTCAGGTCATTAAGAACCAAGCTGTTCCTTTATCAGCTCTGCCTCTCCTGACCCAACAGGATGCCCTTGCACTAGGGCCCTCCTCCCATCCCAACCCATCTCCTAAAGATATGTAACTATGGCTCCTTTGCTCCTCCCACCAGAACCACAAGTATCCAGGACTATCCAGAGAGGCGCTGGAAGGAGGGTCTGAGGAATGAACGGTTTTGTGAAACTTCACTTCCCTCACTGAACCCCACCTCAGAGCCCGCACCGTTCCCTACCCCACTTTCTGCACAGACTCTGTCTCCCAGGCTGGATCACCCTCGCAGGTGAGCTGTAAAGAGGAAAAATGAACAAGTCAACAGGTTTGGCCTTCAGTTTATCTAGGCTGGAGTATTAAATATAATGCAGTCCTAGGACTCCGAAGCACCCTAACCTATAAGGAAAAGGTCTGCAGCCTTCTCTATCTTGTGTTTTGGGGCTCTAGAGAGCCTCCCAAAAGCCTCTCTGACCAGCCTGTCCAATCTCCCACAATCTCACAGTATGGTTTTGTGATTTGTATCTTTATGGGGTCCTGGAGCTGATCAGAACCTTATAAGATTACATAGTAAAACCCCTTCATTTTACAGATGCAGACAGAAGCTGGGGCTCAGAAAAAGGAAGTCACATGCCCAAAGTCACACAAGTAGCAGCTGAACCCAGACAGCTCTTTGGTTTTCATTTCTTTCACTATAAAGTGAGGGAGGTTAAGAATATGAAAATGAATATATGTATACTCAAAAAAAACTTGGTGTATATCCATCTTATAAAAATGTTTATGCTTTTAGCACTTTTAGCACAGCTATAAATAATCAAAATTATATGTATTGACAATAAAAAATTCTTTTAATTTTTTTAAATGAGGGAGGTTAGACTAAAAGGATTCTGAAGGCCCTGCCAACCTCTGCTGTACACAAATAAAACCACCACCACATCTGTGAAGAGTCTAGTGCTAGTCACTGCATAATTTTCTCCTTTAATTTTCACAACAAAGTTATGCTACAGGTAGTGTTGATGCCATGCCTATGTTTATACCCAGTCTATCCAAATAGGTTGATTGGTAACATCATTTGTTCCTACATAAAATATCAACCCCAGTGCTGATTGCCATTCTGCCACTCGCATCATTTCCTTGGGTCTCTGGCCCTTTCAGCCTTTAGATGCTCCTGCTAAGCTGGCAGTACCCTGGGGGAAGGGGACACTTTAGTCTGCACTATTAGCTGGCCCCTGAGCAGCAGTCCGTGTGTTGAACTGAGGTTTCTCATGAAGTCACCCAGTGGAGACACTGTGGGCCTGGAGTCGGGGACTACAGTCAGATGTCCCTTGGCTGTGGCACAGTTCCTCTAACTGCACCCCTAGGCTGACCTGATCCAGCTGTTGCAGGGTGGGGAGGGGAAGCAGGCGGAGGTCAGAACCCGCAACAGGGCTATTGCACAACCCTCCGGCTTGGCCTTGGGTGATCCACCCTTGTTCTGAAGTTTTTTCTGTGTGTCCGGTTCCTTCCTTTTCTGGCCCTTCTGGGCCTTCCTAGCTCCCAAAGACAATACTGAGACCCTAGATGTGTCCAGGGACATCTTGAAGAAGCTGAGGGGCTGAGGAGCCTTAGAGCACCCACAGGGAGATTCCTGAAGCCGACTAGGAGCCTCTGAATTTGTCTGCTGTTTGGTGAGTCTTTCAGGCTGAGGTGGCCCTCGCTCTGCCCATCAATTCAAACCCCCTTGCAAGGATATTTAAGAAAACTGATAACAGTGACCTGTGAAAGAGACCTGGGCCACTGGGAACAGAGAGACTTCATTTTCATTGTATGTACAGCTGCAATTTTAACCATTTTCAATGGTACACCTCAGTAGTGTTAACCATATTTACATTGTCATGCAACAAATCTCTAGACCTTTTCATCTGAAACTCAATGCCCATTGAACAATTCCTGGTGAGAATCTTTTTTGATAGATGAAGAAAACTGAAGTACAAACAGGGCAAGAAATCTATTTCCTCAGAGTGAGCTCTTCCAGCACTTATGCCACCTGTCTGTTGTCCACCTGTAAACCTGTGTGAGGCCCCTTCCTCCTGCAACCATTGCATTAGCCATTCCCTCCCCAAAAGGCCTCTCACATCCCCCAAATGTCCCACCCCAACTTGTCATCCCCCAGCGCAGGACTCAGCATCTTGAACCTAAGCTATGTCAAGACCCTTGTCACTGGGCCTCCTGCCTCAATTCCTGCCCACTTCACTCCACACTCCACACACCAGCCAGGGTGTCCTTTCCAAGCACAGATCTGATCATTTAAAATATGAGAAAACTATCCCCTTTTAAATATCATCCCATGGTTCTTCCCCAGCTACAGGATAAAGTTCCAACTCTGCCACCTGGCACTCACAGCCCTCCATAATCTGGTTTGGGCCAGTCTCTCCATCCCACATCCTAACTTATCCTTCCACGCATCTCACCCTCTTTATGCTACTTTCCATTCTTCAAAACATTTTATGTGCTTTCTTATTGTCAGGACTTTGCCCATCTGTTTCCTTCCCTTGCCTTCTCTACTTCCAAAACACCCTTCCAGGTCCAACTCAAATTCATTCATCACTGTGAGCACTCTCCGAGCCCTGATCAGCATTCATCCCTTCTTCCTTTAAACCCCAGTAACTCCTGGATTGTCTCCTACATTATTTAAGAGCTGGCAACGTGCCCCCTGAGTATAGGGACTGGCTTCCTGGAACCCTCAGGATGAGATTGCCCAAAAGTGGGCCTCCATAAATGATGAATGGCCAGATGATTCATTGAGCCATTAATTTCATTGTGCTGCTCTTGCTTTCCATTGGCCCATATGAGGAAAGAGGAAGGCACAGCTTTCTTGCCTGACAAGTGGGACAGTAGATAAGAACTTATGCCTCCTGGATCTTAACTCAACTCTTCCCCTCCTCCATCTAGACAAGGTTGCCCAAGTACTAGATGACAGGGGTCCCCAAGGGCCTTGCATTAAATGTGAGCCAGTCCTGGGTTATTGCTGTATTATTTAGATTCTTCCTCCCAACACCTGCATTCATAGAGTTGTTCATGATATTTGTTGTGGCCATAACTAACTGTCATCTCTTCTGGGGAAGAGATCTTATAATTAATAGTCAAATGTGTTAACTTTGGCTTGTTGACAGCTCTATCTAGATAAAGGAGGGCTTTGGAACCAGTCGGCGAACTCGGAGTGTTTGGCTTATGGAGAAGTCCAAAGTGGCCATCTTTACTGGAGACCACTGAGGGAAGGAAAACGAAGGTAGTCCCAGTCTTGTTAACCACGAGCGTGTGGTCTGCAGATAACCTTTATCAATAGCAAGAGGACAGCCACACGTTGCCTTCTATGTAAGCACTGGGGCAAAGGGAAGGCTGCGATGATAAAGCTTGTGGAGTATGGTGGGAGCACACGAAGGCTTCCTGAAGGAAGTGAGTGTGGAGCCTTGTTTAAAAGGAATGACATATGTTTTTCCAGAGACTAGGATGCAAGGCTGTCTTCAGCTATTCTTCTACATTGTAGACTAAGGATCTCTGAGAGGAAGGAAAAGGAACATCTGTCATCACCTATTATATGCCACGTACACAGTGACGTTGTTTTGGAAGGCAGGACAGCTGAGGTGCTAGTGTCTTCTCTCTCTGGGGCGGGTAAAATCCCAAACCAGACTGAGTGCTCCTTTCACTCCACTGCCCTCAGGCCCAATACCTGCAGTGGTTACTGGCCTCTCTCTGCTTCCCCAGCTACCTCTTTTCCATCACAATTTCCCCTCAATAGCTTAGGAATACCTAGAGTGGGACATAGGATGCTTTAGAGAGGTCAAATGATTCAGCCTCTGGCCCCAGGTAGGGAGAAATCTAAGCCATCCCCAAACATCTTCTACCTGGTGTTTGTGGAGTACAAAAGAGAACTGTGCTGAGGGAGGGTTCCGAGGAGTGTCTCCTAATGATGCCACACAGTCCTCCCGAGACCGAGCGTGAAGGCCAAAGGAGCCCTCAGCTGGCCATCAATGAGCAAGGTTCTATCTCAGCTCTACCTCCAGTATTCTCTATGATCACAGACAAGCCACTTATTCTTTCTGGGCCTCAGTTTCCCTGTGTGTAAAATGGAAGAAATTAGATTAAATAATCCCTAAGGTCCTTCCAGCCTAAAGCTCAGTGACTTACAGAATCCACAGAAAGGATAGATCAGCATGGTTACAATGGTCAAGGAGGACTTTATTCCATAAGTATTTACTGAGCACCTATTGAGTGCTGTCATAAGTGCTCACAGATAGCAGTGAGTAAAACAGACATAGTCCCTGCCTTCCTTGGGCTTGCAGTCTAGTAGAGAAGATAGACAAGTAAACAAGTAGTTAGAATAAACTGTGATGTTGGGATTTTAGCTGGAGTCTAAAGGAGTGGGGAGGTCATTCCACTGCAGATAACAGCCATCCTCTCTTTTTTCTGTCACTACCAGAGTATCCTTGGATTCTTGTCCCACTTCAACCCCTGTTGCTATGGAGACCACCAATGGTACTGAGACTTGGTACAAGAGTCTGCATGCTGTGCTGAAGGCTCTAAATGCCACTCTTCACAGCAACTTGCTCTGCCGGCTGAGTCCAGACAACCTGACTGAGGAGCGGCACGCCAGCCTACCTAGCCGTGATGACAACTCCTACATGTACATTCTCTTTGTCATGTTCCTATTTGCTGCCACTGTGGGCAGCCTCATCCTGGGATACACCCGCTCCCGCAAAGTGGACAAGCGCAGTGACCCCTATCATGTGTACATCAAGAACCGTGTGTCCATGATCTGATGCTAGGAGGCTTGAGATGGCAGATTAAGACACCTGAGGATTATCTTCTGGGGCCTCCAGAACTCAGCTATGGACCATGTCAGGCCTCAGTGTCCTTATCTGTAAGATCAACAAGAAACTGCTGAGAGAGGTCATTATTGGGGTAGGTGAAGAGGGTCTGGGAGACCTGGGCCTTGTAGATAAGGATTTTTTCCCAGCAAAGATAGACTTCATAGACAGTGGGAGCCCTATGAACAAATATATAGAAGTAGCAACATATGATGACCAATCAGTAGTCTAGTGGCCAGAGTACTGGGGGCTTGGAGCTGGAGGAAGGAGAAAAGGAAGTTGTATTAGAGGGAAATGAAATAGGAAGATGCCCTCAGGACACAATTTTTGACTTGTGACCTTCAACAAACATGAGCAACAGCAGTGATTATCCCATATCACGACAGGAAATCTGAGTAATGTTATTTATTTATATTTGCCCACATTTGATGTTTTCCTACCCATTTAATGTCTGTGATTTTACTCCCAAGAGGGAAGCAGAGCAAGTGCCATTCTGTCCATTTGGGCCAGAGCAGTCCCATGACTGGCACCCAGTAACTCTGGGCTCCTTGCCTAGTGCTTTTCAAAAGTCTGTGCCACCCAGGAATAGATCTAGACCTGAAACATATACAATTCTGGGGGGCCCTCCTGAAAAAAAAGAATTTAAAAATATCTTAATTTTGTAAATATTACAAAAATATATTACCATGTTAATACATTGTTAGGGCCCCTCCTAAGACCTTAAGATGGAGCCACATGAGTACAGGGCCCTGATTGTTAAGCCTCATTAGCTCTGAGGTTCCTGTGCCCCTCCAGCCATGTCCCAGTGCCCTTCCCAGCCACATCTCCAAGCATGGGGAATTCACTACCTCTAAGGCAGCCTTCAACATTTTGATTGAATTCTGTGAGAAATTTTGATACCAAGTTGAAATCTGCATCTAGAAGATTATTATCACACATAGATCACACATAGAAGATTGCTATATTAAAAGAAACAGCATGAAAAGGCAGGTACCTGATTCATTGGAGAGAGAACCAGCCCTGATTCTACCATGAGTGCGGTGTATAATAAACTGGCTAGACATTTCTCTCTCTGCCTCTTTTCCCTCTTTGGCACTGTGAAATAGTTAGAAAGTTGAAACAATTGAAAGCCTCTGAGGACTCTACCAGATCTGACATTCTAGGCTTCACATACATTGATCTGAACCATACAAAACTTGTAGGTCAAAAACAGCTGAATAACAGTACTTTCACGCGGTTCAGCTGAATATGTGAAATGTGGCAGGTAAATACTTTACAAGCTACAAATCCCAGGCTGGAACCTCCCACTGTTCTGTTTGATTTCTATTTGTAAGGAATCTCCATGGGGTCTCTAGAAAGCCCCATTAAAACATACATATTTGTGTTTAGGAAAAACTCTGAAAGAATATTACGATAGCACTTATCTCTGAAGAGAAGGATTACGGGTGATTTTCCCTTTCTACTTTAAAAATTTATGTAATATTTGATTTGTTTGACTATGAATGTATTTCTTGTATAATAAGGTGGGAAAAGCTACTTCCACTTTGAAAAATAAAAATAAATGCCTGTGTGTTTCTTGAATGGAAGATCACAGAGCATTGGCTCCTGTGAGCAGTTAGTGGTGTTGATTCCTTGTGAATGTGCTAAGCCCCACATATGCTCAAGCCTTTCCTCATGTCTCCTTGAGGGAGAAGGCAGAGATCTGCTTAAGAAGATGTGACATATGGGTAGACAACAGACTTGGAAGTCAGACCACCCAGACCAGACGCCCAAATAAAATATGGAATGCCATCAAGTCTAAGAATAAATGTCAGGTGATGGATGCTACCAGGATTTTGAGAAATAGGATTGAGTAGATCTAGAAGAGTCAGAGGAAGGTAGAATTTGAACTGGGCTTTGAAAGATAATATAGATCTAAGTAGGCAGAGTGAATGAAGGAATAAGACGAAGCTTGGAGGCAGAAATGTGGTGAGACCATCCTCCTGAAGAGAGCAAGTCAGCTGGTAGGCAGAGCAGGAGGCAGCCTAAAGGGCCTACAGTGGGAAACCTATGGGAGAGACTCCCTTGCACACAGTTCTTATACTCACAGGGCTTGATAATAAAGTAATACAAATTCTTTCTCTTGCAAATTACAGAAATCGAATGTGTATTATTAGCATAAGCACAAAAGGGGATTTATTGAGAGGAGTATGGGTTCATCACAAGCTCAAAAGAGTAGATACAGATACCAGGGATCCAATGCTTGGAACTGCTTGCTTGTTTAAATTTACAAAGCAGGGGCTCAGTATACCTTATGTACACTCAAGATTGGACTAAATAAAAATCTAGGATTTTAAGATACAATTTAAACATTCTAATATTTTACAATGCATGATGTATGATGGCCCTCCTGGCAGCTCTATCCCACTACCTCCTTCAACAGTTAGGCTCTTTTGGCTGCACCAGTTCTGCCCTCTGCTGGCCAGATCTCAGCATGTCACTTTGAGTCTTCAAAGCAAAACTTCAATTATCACTCAGATTTATTGAGTGCCAACTACGTGCCACGGACTCATCTAGGCACACTTAGAATGCATAAGCAAATGAAAAAGATCAAATAAATCCCTGCTCTAATACTTAAGACCACTTAAAATACTTAAGACACTACATATCAGGCAGTAGCCTAAGCATTTTACACACATTAACTCATTTAGCTTTCAAAACTTGCATAACATCCCTATTTAGTAGGTATTCCTTTCAACTACTTCAGTAGAGCCTATTTATTCTTTTTTATTGACGTATAGTTGGTTTACAATGTTGTGTTAATTTCTGGTGTATAGCACAGTGATTCAGATATAGATATATTTAGTTATATATATTCATATATATATTCCTTTTCATATTCTTTTCATTATAGGCTATTACAAGGTATTTAATATAGTTCTTGGTGCTACACAGTAGGACCTTGTTGTTTATCTATTTTTTGTATAGTAGTTAGTATCTACAAATCTCTAGTTCCCATTTTATCCCTCCACCCCACCCCTTCCCCACTGGTAACTGTACATTTGTTTTATATGTCTGTGAGTCTGTTTCCATTTTGTAAATAAGTTCATTTGTCTCATTTTTTAGATTCCACATAAGTGATACCATATGGTATTTTTCTTTCTCTTTCTGGCTTCACTTAGAATGCCCATCTCCAGGTTCATTCATGTTGCTGCAAATGGCATTTATTTTACCCTTCTTCGTGGCTGAGTAGTGTTCCAACGTATACATAAACCACAGCTTCTTTATCCAGTCATCTGTTGATGGACATTTCGGTTGCTTCTATGTCTTGGCTACTGTAAATAGCTATGAACATTGGGGTGTACGTATCTTTTTGAATTATGGTTCTCTCTGGATATATGCCCAGGAGTGGGATAGCTGGATCACTTGGTAAGTCTATTTCTAGTTTTTTAAGGAATCTCCATACTGTTTTTCATAGTGACTGCAACAAACTACATTCTCACCACACTGTAGGAGGGTTCCTTTTTCTCCACACTTTCTCCAGCATTTATCCTTTGTGGACTTTGTAATGATGGGCATTCTGACTGGTGTGAGGTGATACCTCATTGTACTTTTGATTTGCATTTCTCTGATAATTAGTGATATTGAGCATTTTCATGTGCCTATTGGCCATCTGTATGTCTTCATTGGAGAAATGTTTGTTTAGGTCTTCTGCCCATTTCTTGATTAGGTTGTTTGCTTTTTTGTTATTGAGTTGTATAAGCTGTTCGTATATTCTGAAAATTAAGCTCTTGTCAGTCACATTGTTTGCAAATATTTTCTCCCATTCTGTAGGTTATCTTTTTGTTTTTTTATAATTTCCTTTGCTGTGCAAAAGCTTACAAGTTTAATTACATCGCATTTGTTTGTTTTTGCTTTTATTTCTATTGCCTGGGTAGACTGCCCTAGGAGATCATTGCTAAGATTTATGTCAGAGAATGTTTTGCCTATGTTTTTTTCTGGGCGATTTATTGTGTCTTGTCCTATGTTTAAGTCTTTAAGCCATCTGAATTTATTTTTGTGTCTGGTGTGAGGGAGTATTCTAACTTCATTGATTTACATGCAGCTGTCCAGCTTTCCCAACACCACTTGCTGAAGAGACTGTCTTTTCTCCACTGTACATTCTTGCCTCCTTCATCAAAGATTAATTTACTGTAGGTGTGTCGGTTTATTTCTGGGCTCTATTCTGTTCCATTGATCCATGTGTTTGTTTTTGTGCCAGTACCATGCTGTTTTGATTACTGTAGCTCTGTAGTATTGTCTGAAGTCTAAGAGGGTTATTCCTCCAGCCTCATTCTTTTTCTTCAGTACTGCTTTGGCAATTCTGGGTCTTCTGTGATTCTATATAAATTTTAGGATTATTTGTTCTAGTTCTGTGGGAAAAAAATGTCCTGGGTAGTTTGATAGGGATCATATTAAATCTGTAGATTGCTTTGGAGCCACTTATTCTTCATATAGCCCCTTGAGCACCCTCAGCCTAATTTTAGTGCCAAGGCATACCCAGCACAAAGCATGGATTTGAGATGACTGGGAAAATGATTTGGGAAGATGATGGCAGAGTACTGACACCAGTAGACTGAAATCGGGTTTCTTAGAAGCAAAGCCTGAGATATGCATTTACTGAGGGAGCACTTTTCAGAGGAAACTTTCCAGGGAGAGAGGAAAAGGAACACAATAAACAAGGTATGTGTTATGTTAGGTCACATCTAGCTGCGGCTTGATCCCCAGGAAAAGTGGGGCAAAAACAGCATAACAGAATTACAGCCCCTTGAGGCAAGGGGACCAGCCTCTTATGCCCCATATCAGTCAGTCATCGGTTGTGGGCCACCCTGGTGGGGAGAGGGGATGAGAGTAGGGGTGCCAGGAGGTTCCCATCAGCTGAGAGCAGGTATCTGGAGAAGAGTGGCACCTGTGGGCTACTGCAGGCTACAGCAGTTGTCTTGGTTAGTGATTTGCAAAAGCCTGATTCCTCAGGAAGGTTCTGAAGCTCAATTTTCATCACAGAATCAGCCCTGCCTTTTGAGGCTATCCTTTTCTCCCTCATGTCAGTCATCATTGACTGCTGGCTGCTAGAGGGGGCCCTTAACTCCCCAGGGGTACTCATATTTGGCTGAGGCCAAAACTCTGGACAAGGAGGCAGCTCTGAGCTGATGGCACCCAACACTCACAGCAGCTGGGGAAGGAGGACAACATGGGGGCTCCATCAGCATCCACAACAGCTGTGCTATTGGGGAAATGGGAGCAGAAGCAAAGTGTCATGTCTTGGGATCTCCCAGCTTAAGAGACAAGAAGCATATGCTAAATTAAGAACAAAACAATATAACACCAAATAGAACCAAGTAGGAAACAGTATAGTTAAATACCAGAAAATGTGGGGAACAAATATTGAACATGATGGTCAAGGGACATATCACGGATGTTTCCTGGGGATTTGAGGTAGGATTTGATTAGAAGGTCCAGTATAGTATGGTCCAAGCAACATTCCAAGTAGGTGAATGGCTCTGCTCTACTCAGGGACCTGGGATAATGACTGCCACCTTCAACATGTAGCTTCTAAGTTCACTCTGATTGAAGTACTTCTAGTTAGTTAAGAGAGAGACAGAACAGAATTCCAGGGCCAGAGATTTACTCAAACGCAAGTAAAGCAAAAGCTGTTTACATCCCATCTGCTCACACCCATTGACAATGGCTCAGTAATGTGGTCAACACAGGCTGCAAAGGGGGCTGGCAAGTGAAGTCCCAATCCGGACAGTCAGGTCTCAGATAAACCATGATTATAAGGGAGAAAGTGAATTTTGTGGATAGCAGGTGGTCTTCACCCTACCCTTTTCACCTTCTCCAGGACGGGTCACGATCAAAAAATGTACAGCCCTGCCAAGAAGGAAGCAGTGCTGTCACTCTGACTCAACATGTTTTTGGGGGGGCCGGGGAGCCTTGTGGGTATAACTAAGCCTGTCCTGGGAGTGTGACTTTTGCTTTTTTTTTTTTTCTGGCACTGGTGAGTCTGGTCTCTCCTCTCATTGGAGTGGTAATAGCCAACATATTTGTTTA